ATTTTATTTTATGGTGTGATTCCATGTATTGTATGCTGCTGACATTTAATTATAATTTTATTTTATGGTGTGATTCCATGTATTGTATGCTGCTGACATTTAATTATAATTTTATTTTATGGTGTGATTCCATGTATTGTATGCTGCTGACATTTAATTATAATTTTTATTTTATGGTGGGATTCCATGTATTGTATGCTGCTGACATTTAATTATAATTTTATTTTATGGTGTGATTCCATGTATTGTATGCTGCTGACATTAAATTATAATTTTATTTTATGGTGTGATTCGATGTATTGTATGCTGCTGACATTAAATAATAATTTTATTTTATGGTGTGATTCGATGTATTGTATGCTGCTGACATTAAATAATAATTTTATTTTATGGTGTGATTCCATGTATTGTATGCTGCTGATATTTAATTATGATTTTATTTTATGGTGTGATTCCATGTATTTTATGCTGTTGACATTTAGTTATAATTTAATTTTATGATTTGATTCTATGTTATTTTATGCTGTTGACATTTAGTTATAATTTTATTTTATGGTATGATTCCATGTATTGTATGCTGCTGATATTTAGTTATAATTTAAGTTTTATGCTTTGATTCTATGTTATTTTATGCTGTTGCCATTTAGTTATAATTTAATTTTATGCTTTGATTCCATGCTATTCTATGCTGTTGACATTTAGTTATAATTTAATTTTATGATTTGATTCTATGTTATTTTATGCTGTTGACATTTAGTTATAATGTAATTGTATGGTATTGGTCTGTTATTATACGTTGTTGATCTTATCAGATTATTACATGACAGTTTTCATATCAGATGTATTGTCAGTCCTATAAGTATGATATTTGCTAAATACCGAAGACTCGAGGGTTAATGATCGACCGAGGGATGATAATACATATGATATGAAAACTGTCATGTCATGCATAATCTTTTTATCATATGATTCCACTTTGAAAAATATAAGTGCATGGAAATGTTTTATTTTAAAAATATCAATCACAACTACGCAATTTATACTACAGGTCAACATCAAAGGCATTTGAAAGTATGTCCGATGATTATATATATATATATATTAAATATAGATATTAAAGCGTGGAATGCTTAACTGTACTTATATACTCTAAGGGTTTCAAGTGGATCTATTTGTACTGACAAAAATGTATTATTTGCAATGCTGTACACTAAGTAAATTGTTAACAGCAATAGTGTGCAATAAAGTGCATGTTAAAATAAAATGTTCCGCTTGGCGAAGCTCGATACGACCGCAGAGGTAAAACCCTGAACAGTTGGAGCAAGTATGGACACTTCATTCAAGCTTGATACAGCTCTGGATTTGGATTGTGATGAAATATTTGACACAGCATTGGTTTCTGACACAGAATGAATGTGGTCAAAGAACTGAAAATTTTGAAATTGGACTTTTACCTATCATGGCCCAATATCCAAAATCTAAATACACGGTTAGATTCAGCATATCAAAGAACCCCATATATTCAATTTTTGTTAAAATCAAACAAAGTTAAATTTTGGATCCCGATTTAGACCAATTGAAAACTTGGTCCAAAATCAAAAATATAAATACGTCTTTAGATTCTGTATATCAAAGGACCCCTTAAATTCATTTTTTCAAAAATAAGTTTAATTTTGGACTATGTGGACAAATTTGAAAACCGTTCCCAAAATCAAAAATTTCAATACACAGTTAGATTCAGCATGTCAAAGAACGCCAAGAATTCACTTTTTTTTTTATTTAAATCAAACAAAGTTTAATTTTGGACCCGTTGGGCCTAAATGTGGACCAATTTGAAAGAGGGCCCCAAAATTAAAATCTAAATATATGGTTAGATTCAGCATATCAAAGAACACCAATAATTCAATTTTTGAAGAAATCATACAAAGTTTAATGGTGGACAAATTAAACCTTAATATGGATCAATTCAAAAACAGACCCAAAACCCAAATAATAAATACCCAATTAGATTCAGCATATCAAAGAACCCAAATAATTCAAGACTTTGAATAAAATCATATTGAAATTGCTAAAGAAATAAGCAATTTATACAAAGTATTACAAAAGAATTATTTTTGGCCCCTTTTAACTAAACCGATACGGTTATAACCCTTAAATTCAATCCCAAACTGTATGTTATTATATAACCCCTTGTGGCACAATTAAATAGCAATAAATAGACTTATACTCAAGTTATTGTCCAGAAACTAGAAAATCCTTTTTTTTTTGCCCCTTTCATTACCCTAATTATTAAACGGTTTGGACCGTGATCCCCAAAATCAATCCAAACTTTCCCTTTGAAGTATGGAACCTTGTGGTAAAATTCACAGAGATCCAAATTCTTATACACAAATTATTGTCCTGAAACATGAATAAACTGTTAACACAGAGATATGTCTCGCCTTTTTGTTATTTTGATAATGCAAATGTTGAAATAAAAAATAGCAATAATTAAACATGTAAGTTATGCAAATATTGAAAGTCAATGAACCATGACTGAAGGTACATGGTTATACAATCTCCATTGAAATAAGATGTGCCAATGCTAATACAATAAAATTATTGCATACCAAATACCATTGACTTATCATAAGTCATTCCCTTTAAACAAACCTAAACACAAACATTAACTTGTAAAAGTTTCAAAGTTAATGAACCATGATGAAGGGGTGGGGCTATATTATCTCCATGGAAACGAGACTTGCAAATGCCAATAAATTTGCATACCAAATATCATTGACTTAACATTAGCAGTTCGTCTTTAACTGATCTAATCACAAACTAAAACATGTAAACAAAGCAAAAGTTTGAAAGTCAATAGATCATGACTAAGGGGGCAGGGCCAAATATTCTCCATGGAAATGAGATGTGCTAATGTTAATACAACTGCATACCAATTAACATTGGCCTACCACTAATGGTTCCCCTTGAACTGACCTAATCAGAAACTAATACATGTAAACTGAGCAAAAGTTTCAAAGTGAATAGACCATGACTGAGGGGGCAGGGCCAAATAATCTCCATGGAAATGAGATGTGCCAATGCTAATACAACTGCATACCAAATTTTATTGACCTACCACTAGTGGTTCACCATAAACTAGACCTAATCACAAACTTATACATTGTTGACGCCGCCGCCGCCGCCGCCGCCGCCGGAAACAGCATACCTATGTCTCGCTTTATGACTTCGTCAAGGCGAGACAAAAATGCTTGTTTATGACTCCTTTTTGGTCCCTAATTACTAAAATTTTAAGGTTACAACAATAACCCCTAAAATAAATCCCAACCTTCCAATTGCGATAAGGAACCCTTTGCTCAAATTTAATAGAGATCCATTCACTTATACTCTAGTTATTGTCTGTGAACCAGAAAAAATAGTTGTTTTTGTTAGCCCTTTTTTGGCCCCTAATTATTAAACGATTTTGGCCATGACCCCCCAAAAATCAATCCCAACTTTTCTTTTGAAGTATGGAACCTTGTCGTAAAATTTCATAGAAATCTTCACTCTTATACACAAATTATTGTCCTGAAACATGAAAAATGCTCTTTGACCCGTAATTAATAAACAGCAACTACAATAACCCACAAAATGAATCCCAACCTTCCTATTGTAGTATGGAACATTGTGCTAAAATTTAATAAATAGAGATCCATACACTTATACTCAAGTTATTGTCTGTGAACCAGACAAATAAAAATGTTTTTGTTAGGCCCTTTTTAGCCCTCTAATTCCTAAACAGCTATGACATTAACTCCCAAAATTAATTCCAACCTTCATATTGTGGTGTGGAACCTTGTGCTAAAATTTAATAGAGATATATACCTTTATACTAAAGTTATTGTCTGCGAACCAATTTATTTTCTATGAACCAGTAAAACGGACCTTTTATGGCCCCTAATTACAAAACTGCTAGGATAATACTCCCAAAAAAAAAAACAATCCCAACCATCCTTTAGTGGAATGGAACCTTGTGATAAAATTTCGTAGAGATCCATACACTGATCCTCAAGTTATTGTCTGTGAACCAAAATGTCTTCGGACGCAGACGCAGACATCGCCATAACATAATACGGACGCAAAAATTTTTGCAGTCGTATAAAAATATATCATATATGTTAGGACAGGCCTGAATTGGTGAAATGTGTGTCACTTTAATGGAGCATATCCTAGTACGCTCATATAGTTTTCGCAATTTGAATTCTCAATTGTGCGTAAAGGAGAGAATAATAGTAAAATGGTTAACGGTTTCTCCACATTCCAAAGTGACACGATTGTGCATCTTTATAACATCTTTTTGTCTTAGGCGTGAAAATAAAATATGGATATGAAAAAAACTTCAATAACAAAAAGATAATTTAAAAACTTAACCAAAAAATAACAACCAAGACTGAACAAACAAAGGCAAAACAGAAATTCAAGTCAACAAAGCACGAAATGTAGGTCAGAGTGACTTACTTTTAAGGTTGTTATGATCCTTAAGTTGCACCCTACACCGATACACGTATCTAACTCCGATTTTACTACTTACCATGTATAACGTTTCATTATCTTGAAATCATGTTTTATTCAGTGGAACTAGAGAACACAAAACGTACCAAATGATACGTCAGTTTATGCTTAACCAAAATGTTTGACACCGACAAAGTACACTGAATGATAGACTTTCAGTAGCCAGCAAAATAACATACACGTAACAACATTTTATGAGTTATGAATGTAACCTGTTTTGAACTAGATGACACGATGATCAGGATTTTTTTGTAAGACATACTATCCAACTCGGACACAATAATTTGATTCAGAGTCAACCGACCAGTATTTGCTCTTCCTAAAAATTCCCCTTGCTTGACAGAGAAGCAGCAAATACCAATTTCAAAGTCTTTGGCCTGACCCTATTGGGAATTGAAACCACGATCCCTCAGGTTAATTGCAAAAGGCAAAATAAAAAACACTAAACATTCGTTTGTTAATTAAATATAATTTGTAAAACTGAGATATTTTAAAAAGTTAACAAATACAGTATATTGTAAATAAAAATACAATCTTTTTTCAAAAGACGAATAGAGTACGAGACCAGTGTATTCATACCATTAAGACATATCACAATAAGCAAGATGAGAATGTTTAAAATCTGAAATACAAGCACCATACTGAACACTATGATAGGAAGGCAAAACAATGAAAGAATCTTGATAATTATGGGTCAGTAATGTAAAATGTGTAACTGTCATTAATGCTTTACTAAGTGGACATATATACCAGAGCAGGAACCAATAGAAGAGTGGGATGTACGTAAAAATAAGACAGCAACTAAACAACATAAGCTTTCAAAAAAAAAAAGAAGATTTCTGGAGGACACTGCAGTATGGCCAGTTGTGTTGTAGATTTCAACAACTCGCATGGTTCCCTAGAATTAAATTATCTGTTTAAATGTATTTCACATAATATCCACAGTGAAACTCTGTTCCTTGGTGCTAGCTACTTTACATTTTTTAATATTAAACTTAAAAATTATCACTTTAATGAAACACTATGATTAGTAGCAGTTAACTCATAATATAGATATCTATCAATGAAATGATGTTAAAAGAAGCATCAGTCTACAAGTTGTTTAAGATTTCAGTTTTTAACATAGATTTAAAATATTATGAAAGGCTATTATGTGATGTTTGTTAACATATGTATGGATTCTATTCAAGAAATTAATTATTTGAATAAGCATTGAAATAACAAAAATAATAAAGAATGAAATCAACCTCTAACACATATGCAAAATATAAATTAAATCTGCACGAAAGTCTAAATAAGCCCAAGAAGAATAAATGCTCTGTTGTAAGGTCCTATTTGTAAATGTGTCACACAATGGGGAACTCCTTGGACTTCTAATCAACAGCAAAAGAATAAGTTTAGCAAGAACAATCCTCTGATCATATTGTTTAGCATGGTTTGAATGACACATGAAATTGATTTAATTTTCCCCTCATCATTTTATATAGTTTAAATATAAAAATAAGGAGACATGGTATGATTTCAAATGAGACAACTATCTGCCACAGACAAAATGTCAAGGACGTAAGCAACTGCAGGTCACTATAAGGCCTTCAACAGTGAGCAAGAACCATACAATAAGTAAGCTATAAATAGTCCTAGGAGAACAAAAAGAGAAACCCAGTGGCCTGATTGAAGCTTATTACATTTACAAAAAAAATAGTTATGATAGACAGCAACCAACAACAACCACTGGACTACTGGCTCTAGACTTGGGACAGGTGGCGGAGCACTGCTTCATTCTATGGTGGTAGGGATCTTAAATTTCAGATCAGTATACGTACCACAACAACAATCACATAGTTCATAAAGGATTGATTGATTGTTGGTTGCTCAATGTCCAGTGGCAAATATTGTTCATAAAGGACTAGCTCGACCAACAAAGTAAAAAATGCACAATCACACAGATTTTATCAAGGACTTGCAAGACAAAACATCTCAAACATATAAAGATGTGTTTTGATTATATATGTCCTCTGCTGGTTACTATCTCAATGACATATTAAGTTGTGGCAATCATGTATGTTTTGTGTGGTTTATTCGGTTACTTTTTTACAGAATTCTATCTTGGTATTTACAATATATTAAATATAAATCAGAAGATGTGGTATGAGTGCCAATGAAACAACTCTCCATCCAAGTCACAATGTATAAAAAGTCAAAGTAAAGACTGACAAAAGAAATCATTTTAAAAAATCTTTGCTTTTGATATGTCTTTACATAAAAAGGATATTAAACAGAAATGACCCAATATTTTGGACAGTCCATAAGACCAAACAAAACACCAAAACCAGACTCCTTGAAAAAGACTCAGGTACAAACAAAAACAATCAACAACATATTCAAATACTGTATTAGTGGCTGCAACATGGCCAAATCCAACCTGCAAAACCTTCAGGGGTTTGGGAGGCACCCTTGCCACCTGATCTCATTTAAAAGGACTTCTGACCTTTAAATATGTTAAAAACCGTAAATCATATCAGTTTAGAACTATATAGTTTGCTTTTCAATGACCTTTTGACACGAGGCAATCTTCAAATGTGACTTTGTGACCTGAGGCAATTCTTAAATATGACCTTGTGACCTGAGGCAATTTATGAATTTGACCTTGCTGCCCTTTTTTGTTTGAAATACAACCATCCTTAGATGAACATTTTGTAAAGGCAGAACATAGTTATTGCAATTATTTAATTATCTAATCATTTAATCCTAAAATTTAATAAATTGATAAAAGATAAAATTGATGAAAGAAAACTTTAAAAAAAAAATGGTTACACTTACTGAATGAATGACTATACTTGGCAAGAAACTTATTAACATATAAAGCTGAAAATACACTGCAAAGAGATCAGGGAAAATTAATCTTATATAGAATGAGTGACATAGAGAAACTGAATCCAGATATATTGCTACATAATAAAATAAAACAACATAAAGTAAACCTCTTCAACATATTTTACATTTTGTGAGATTTATTACATGAATAGTTTATGTGTTAATATGCCTTGTATTTCCTTGTTTAAGATGATATAAGATATTATCATGATTATATTAGTGTAAAATCCAAATAATAGGATTGTTACTGAATAACAAAAATAGACAATAAATAATATAAAATTAGTTTAAAACAAAACATCTCAATTATTAAAAAAAATGTTTTTACGTTAAATTAGTATTTCTTGTATGTTTTTCAAACAAATTAACATTTATATCTTCCTGTAATTTCAATGTGAAAAAAAAATGAGATTTTGAAAAACAAGCACATGGGAATTAGGTGTCGAATGGCAGGGGCATTACATTTGTGCCAATTTTTTTTAAAATGCAGTATTTTATTTGCGGCACAGGGTTGTATTTCATTTGCTCCATGGCAGATCTTTGATTTTCTTTAAAATTTCTTAAATATTTTTTTACTTGTTGGGATTTAGTGTTTGAAATATTGTATAAATAACTGTCTGTTATTGAAGACCATATGTTGACCTACAAAGTTATATATATTCCTTTCAGTTTTTTGTGTTTGGTTGCTGTCTAATTGATGCATACCCCATATCTCCTTCTATTCTTGCATGAACAAATCTTTATTTTTCAATAATTTTTATGTAATATATGTTATCTTTTATGCCTTTTAAAAAAGACTTCATCAAGAAGATTATGAATTCAGTGGTAAAATATGATAATCATTGCAAAATGACATGGGTGTGGTAAAATTTCTGGCTTATTTTCAGAAAGTTGGTTTCATGGTTAATATGTTAAACACCTTACGAAAAGGAAAATAACTCATAAAAAAACTTGTTGACTGTAGTTTTCATTAGTTTTTCAGATTTGGGCAACTTAAATAAAATTATGTCACAGAAAAAGCTGACAAATACATGTATTTAATGAAAATAATCTCAATTTTATCATTTAAAAACACTAAATGTGATGGATACATGCATTTCATAAAAAATTCACAAACCCGAAACTAAAAAATGCAATCAACTCTTCTTATAAAACAAACAAAAAACCATTTAAAAGTATCTGAACAGCATCCTGATAAACATCGATTTTGAAATGCCATCTTGTTTCTAGAAATTATAGTATTACATCGATCATGTCCATAACACAATCTATAAGAAATCATTTTTGATAGCATCACTTTCAAGCAATACATTATCACACTAGAGGGGATGCTCATTTCCCAAATACCCCTTTTTTGTAATTTTTTCCAACATCCCAAAAGTTTGTCGTTTCCCTCACATTAAAAGGCCCTGAGAAGAACACTGTGGTAAACAAAGTCATAAAGTACTGAAGACACTGTAAAACTTTCATTTAAATCCAGACATGAATGCAAGAGATGTCAACCTCTTTAGTAAATACACTTGTATGGCATAGGCCATGTTTTGCCATGGGAAACCCCCAAAATCATTTTGATAAAAAAGAAATATACCAGAATAATGCCCTCAGGTAGTAAAGATTCTCTGAAGTTACACTGAAAACAATTACTTATTGTGAAATATTGCACACAAATTGAAGATGGCGAGACAAACAAACAATCAAACAAATGAAAGATAAATGAAATGTAAACTCAAATTGCTGTACCCCCTTTACTTAATTGGGGATGGGAGATATAATAAGCTAATCATGTATTATTTCAGTTACCTCCATCTTAATTATCGCCTGCATTTTGAAAATTTAAAGCCTCACTACACAATGTGTAACCTTAGAAAAACTAAAGAGTTGGACTTATTAATAAGGCATATATGTAACTGTTTAGCCGGATCATTTCTAGAACCTCATAGGTATAAAGATTTTTGGTGTTTGCAGACATGAAGGCAATTGTAGAAGATTAAAACCCCATTCTTGTGAAATTTTATGACATGATATAGTAATTTGCTCCTAAAGAGAAGTGCTAATTTCTAGTACATAATCTGACTATAGGAAAAGGCATTAACAATAGTAATACAATTATCTGGTTAGTACATCAAAGGAAATAAAAATTTAACCATCCTTCCTGGTTGCAAGATCAATTGATTATTGAAACAATTTCTACATAATTCAATTAATGATCATAAAATGTAAACTTCCGTTGATCTACCCCCAAATCTAATGTCAAATTGTTGGAATGTATATAATCTGCAGCTTTTTACTATCTTCTTTATTACTATCCTTTTTAATATGTCTGTATGTGATGTGTTAAATTTTTCATATTACCGATGTCAATACAAATTTTATTTTACATAAGTACTAGTCACAACACTATCTGAACAATGAATTCCTTAAGGCAAAAATCTAAAACGGATTGACCCAAACAGCAAAAATCGGAAACACCAAAATTTAACTATTAATTTTTAATAAAAACACCGTAAATATCCTGAATTATGGTATCTATTGTGCTTCAACTCAGGGAAGTTTCTCAGCTACATCTGATATCCCTCGACTTTCACCCTTCGATGAGATTGTAGCAGAGAAAGTCCCTCTGGTTTTCAGAATCAAGGATTATCTATAATTACAGTCATAACATTGGCCCAGAAAGTGAAAAGGCCTTAACAATATCAACTTAAGAGGTGCTAAACCAGTGGTTATGGATACATGCATCATTCTTCACCAAACTTTCATGATATAATACATACTTTGATCTTTGAGTTACAATATATATATATGTATTAGATAAAATAAGCATGATAAAAAATTCTCTGTTTATACATTGTTGTGCATATAGAATCCACCAATTAAAAAACAAACACAAAGACAAAATACATGATGAGTACTCATTAAAAGACCCTAAACATGCTGAAGGTGGCACAATAACCATGTGATAACCATATCTGATCAAGTATGATCACAACATTTGCTAAAATATCCAAAACATCTGAAAATTGTGTTTCTTTGATATACGGGTAGAATGGGTTTGAAAATATGTGCTTATAAAAAGTCTTAAATGTTTATGAGAAAAATAATGCATTTTTAAAGACTTTCTGTAAAATAGAAACAAAACATTTATCAAATCACTGCAGAAAATTTTAAATTAAAAGCATTATGAATAAAATGATGAAACCATATTAAAATTTCTATTCAAATTGCAATATAGAATATAAATAACAGTTAGTGTTTAGCAATTATGGGAATGTATAATCAATTATATTTCAATTTAATTATAATTCATTTTAATATAGATATATATATATATTTTAAAACAAAGTAAAACATGAAAAAATGTAAGTTGAGGTTAAATTTTTATTTCTCTTTACTGACACGAAGACTGCCTTTACCAGTTTAAAAATGATAAAATTGACAGTTTAATATGTAAATAAAATACAAAATAAGTTCATTGTTATTTCACTTTCTCTTCATCATCAATTCAGGATCATACATAATTGATTGTAAGCATCAGTTTGCTTTCAAAGGGAGATAATTGATCGTTTTGAGATAATTGTTACAACAATATCATGATTAAAGTAATTGTACTATCAAAGTCTTTCAGTAGTCATGGTAGTAGTAATTTAAAATCTTAAAATAACAAATACCCTGTTATGCTCAATGTCAGGGGATGTCTGAAGTATGAATAGATAGGATTTACTTTGTATACCTTCAGCTATGTAACTGGGTTTTAAAAAGTTGGTAATCATTAAAATAAATAAATAAAATGAATTATAATTTAAATATAAGACATCAAACTACTAAAATGGGAACACAATACAACCATTATGTGTAACACATGTATTCCATGATTGGATTAACAATGTTTTTGGCTATACACTGGAACTTGTTAGATCTTCAACCAAACATGATGTCCTTGCACCCCATAATTCTTTCATATGTTTGATCTGATTCCCATATTCTTCATGCATTTGAGCAAATGTTTTATGTTTCGGTTTTGCATCATCATAAAAATGAAAATTAGCGGAGTCTGTCAAGCATGTCAAGTTTTCTTCTGAGGTATTGAACGGGTTAAATCTTTTCAAAGGTTGTGTGATATTTTCAACTGATTCTTCCGTATTCTCCTGATATGAGTTTCTTTGGTCTAAATTTCCATAAGTTCCTGATAAAATAAGACTGTCTCTCATTGCATCCTCTACAAGTTTTGCATCTTCATTTAGATCCTGTAATTGTCTATGAAGTTCTGACACCATAAGTTTCATATAATCATAACTTGCTCTTGAAAGGACTTTCATCCATGCTTCCATATCCTCTTGTGAATCTGCAGCAATAATGTAAGTCCTACAACCAGAGGCACTAAATTTTACTTGAAAAACAAACCCGTCTGTATCCTCTGACAACTCTATAGTACATCCTTCAAGTATAATAACTCCTATAGGTTCTTTGTCATTGCGCTTTTCATAGTAAAATAATAAATTTCCTTTCAACACAAACCATCTCCTTTGATAACCTTTATTAAAATCTCCTCTTTTCAGTAAATATCCTTCTTTGTCTGCTGGGGCTCCTGATGAAGCAAATTTAGTTAAACTTTTGTCATTTATTTTCATTTTATCCTTGTGTCTATTCATCAGATTAACAGGAAAGTTCACAGTTTATGACCTGAGTTTTTAAGTAGCTTATAAATACACCAAGCAACTTCCTATTTAGGTTTCACTGTGTCAGTGATGTCACTGTCATGGAGCATTTCATACTTACTTTCATTTTCAAAGTGAAAGTGGGCGTGGCATTCAAGGGTAAATGTGAAGATTGCGTCTACAGTTGATTGAAATTACAATATTTCATTTGTGTAGTCTTTTGAAGTTAGAACCTGGGTTTAAGCTTAACAAATATTAAGTAGCTTAAATAATTAAAAGTTCGAAACATTCGGACTCTACCTTCTATTCCTAAATCAGGTGACCAAGCACTCTTGAGTCACATGACTATGCAAAATGGCAGACGACAGAGTATTTTTGTTTGCTTGTATGTTTGGGGCATTTATTTCCATATGCTATGGGGAAATTGTTTCAGTAACGTACAATAAAAATAGTCAGGAATATAAAATTCATCGGCACGAAGCTCCGGAATGGGTTGCATTAGCAGAATTTAAAAATGACATCAATAATACTGGGTAGGTTTTAATTAATCTGTATACGTATATATGATTAATCTGCTAGTGCAGGGACTTTCTATACTGTCCCTGGTTAGTGTTAGTTGTAAGAAGTTATATATTGGAAGTTGTCTTCAGTTTTTAGAACTAATCAACCATAATTAAATCTTAAACAATAAAATTATTTAATTCTAAATTTTCTGAAAAGAATGTTTCAGACGTGCATACTTGCCGAAGAACCATTTCTAGCAGGGAGACTCTCCCTCTTTTTCCTGTTAAAAATTTGACATCTCCCTCTTTGTGTCACCACTGAATTTGGTCTCTGTTGGATAGTTGTTCCATTGAAAATCGTACCACAATATAACCACATCTTCTTATTGTATAGGGTTTTTGTCTGATTGTAATCTTATAAGGAAGCTACATTTATTCTAAGATTAATATAACATATACAGATTTATTTTTAAATGTAATCTTATAAGGAAGTTACATTTATTTTAAATGATAAGTTTATCATGTGTATTCACTTTTTAAATACACATTAAGACTATTTATAGGGGGGAAGTACATAGTTTAGTTAAAAAAACTTTAAATTCAGAATTACAAAATGTATACATTGGAGGGCATATTTGAGCTCCACAATTGCTCCCACTTTTAGACTGTTTGGTCATAAAGTAAATTTTAACTTTATTAGTCAGAGGTCAAAGAAAACATGAGGAAAAATATCAAAGTTTCTAGATAAAATGTCTAGAGCTCCAGTCATCATTGTCACTCATGCATACAAATTAATATGGGACAGGGCTACCGGTATTCCAAATAAGAATGACATCTTGAAGGCTATTCTAATTTTTTATTGTGACACCTTCCTTCCATCTGTATCATTATTTAACATGTTTAACAAGGAATGCTTATATTGCAACAGATGGGCATACCTTGATATCAAGACATCTACAAATTATGACGATGAGCAACAAGCCTTTGCTGCTGGGATGGCAGAGGCTTCACATTCGTCCAATCTTATGCATGATCACTGGATGAATACTGTGGATGGTTACTGTACAAAACCATACAGTGCATATTGTACAAAATTACAGACATTTTTACAGACTAACCTGGACTGGATGAATGAACAGATAAAAACAAATACATCTACATATTGGCACATGGTAGGATTAATGTCATAAGATTATTATTTCACAGAAGAAAAAAAAAACTGGTTAGGCAGGGATTTTTCTGAAACAATTTACTTTATGTCCTATAATGAAAACTTCTTGGCTTTGTATTGAGTTGCTAATATGTATGCATTAAAACATTAACTTCTGAAAGAATAACACTGATAATTTAACTCATCAAATAAAATTGAGAATTGAGAATGGAAACAGGGAATGTGTCTAAGAGACAACAACCCGACCAAATAGCAGAAAACAGCCGAAGGCCACCTATGGGTCTTCAACACAGCGAGAAAATCCCAGACCCGGAGGCAGGCTTCAGTTGGCCCCTAAACGAAAATGTGTACAGCGAAAAAGGACATCACACTAAGCTCCGAAACATATAAATGAACCAAAATTGAAAAAAACATACAAGACTAACAAAGGCCAGAGGCTCCTGACTTGGGACAGTTGCAAAAATATGGCTGGGTGAATAGAAATAAGAAGATGTGGTATGAGTACCAATGAGACAACTCTCTATCCAAGTCACAATGTGTAAAAAGTAAACAATTATAGGTCAAAGTATGGCCTTTTACATGTTTTGTGAGATCTCAACCCTCCCCCTATACCTCTAGCCAATGTACAATGTAGAATAAATATACTTTATTGCAAAGCAATAAAGTATATTTATTCTACATTGTACATTGGCTATGGCTAGAGGTATAGGGGGAGGGTTGAGATCTCACAAAACATGTAAAAGGCAATTTAGAATAAACAAACACACAGCAATACACACAGTAAAACTCAGTTCAAAAGAAGTCTGGAGTCCGATGTCAGAATAGGTAACAGAAGAAACTAAGCAAAATGACAATGATATATAAATTAACAATGGACTACTAGCAAATTACTGACATGCCAGCTCCAGACCTTAATTAAACTGATTGAAAAGTTATGTCTTCATCATATGAAAATCAAGCACAACCCCTCCCGTAAGGGGTTTAGTATCATACCATCATACAATATACAAGAAGAACATGACCTGTATCATGCCAACAACTGGTTTTTGAATAAATGTGTTTATTTCCGATGCAAAGTCCCTATGAGTGAATCAATATTAATTCATAAAATATGCCATCTTTAATGACCTGACAACAGTATGGTAACTATATCCCTTCTGAATAAGTCTGTTTAAAGGTTTACATACTGTAAACTTGTTTACAATTAGTTTTATGTAATGAACAGGGTTTTCAAATTAATTTTGTTTTCATCTGTAAATTGGTTTTAATTACCTGTACATGAGAATTGTATACGCCAGTAAAATAGAAGTAATTGAATGTACATTGTACCTTACATATAATTGAATTGAAAATTTCTTTGTAAACTTCTTTAGCAGTTAGGCACAGACTACCACCAATTCATTTGTGTGTGTGGAAGGGGTTAGATAAATTGTTTGATTCAAAATTTCCAAATTTCTTGGAAATTTTTTGTTTTGTTTTTGAAGAGAAGTGAAAAAATAGTTCGTTTCCGTTTTAAATTAGGGAAAGGGATTAAATTCAATATAGCTATAATAATAAATATGAAGATAGAGTCTACAAACAAACAAAATGTCTTGTTCCTGACTTTTGTTGAAAAACATATATTTGTTTTTGAAATAAATTTGTTTGTCCCAAGAAAATTAGCAATAAGCATGACCAACAAATTTTTTTTTGAAATAGTTATAATAGCTTTTCTATAAGAACATGTATACATTAAGATTTTTTTCAGGTAAAGCTGTTTTTATTACAAGTTGATGGTTTAAGTCAAGGTTATGAACTATCAAGAAGGTCACCTGGCTGGTCATCATTGAGATATTCTGGACCAGGATCAACAAACCTAGACCCATTTGGTTTTTAGTAAGAATACTAATCTTATACTTTTTAGCTTGTGGAATATTGTGATTATATTTCCTTGAAATACATTGAGGAAGATAACACAGATGTCAGATAAAGGTGTCCATGACACAATAGTCATACAAAATGGTTATGAATTATTTGTTATATTATACACTGTTTTGAACTGTAAATGTGTTGAAATAAATTAGAAGGTTTTAATTTTAACCTACCTGTATATATACAAAATATATTGGAAGCCATATATCTATTAATGGCCCCGTCCAATTTACCATAAATGAACAAGCTAATGTTCAATGAATAACAGGAGCAATATGAAATCTAAGTATAATGCATACGCCTAAAAGTGTACAAAACAACACCAATATAAAAAAAGGAAACAATAAATATAAGTATCTATAAATATTTAGAATAAAAGATATATATATACTTCATCAGTATATATATACTTCATCAGTATGATCATGATGATGTAAAATGAATCATATCAATCCTTTCTTTAACTAAAACAATCTCTAACGTAATATATATTAAAAACCAATAAAATTGATAAATGATCATTAAAAAGAGAAGAAATCTATACTTAAATTTTGTTATTTGTTAAAAATTTTACTTTTAATAATTCAATTTATTCAAATATTAGTTTAAATTTATGTATGTACTTTATTCCTACATTAATTTTCAGCCTTTTTCAAGTTGGAGGTGATTTAGAAGATTTGGAGGAGGTACTAGGCAAACCTGAAAAATCGAGAGTGTTTGGATCTGGTTCCTGTTCTGCTTTGATTAAAATGTTCCCTGGAAACAAAGATTTGTATGTCAGTCATGACACTTGGTCAACATACCAGTCCATGCTGAGGATTCTGAAGAGATATGAATTTGCATATACTGTTAAAGATGGATTAGGTATTATTGAAGTCTTAATTACTGTAGGTTCATTAATATTGTGTTGGTAACATTTTTCATGGTTTTAGGAAAATTTCATGGATATTTTATTTCTTGGTTTTGACAAATTTTGATAAAGGATGATATATGTTTTGTTGAACATTTTTTAATAAGTGGTTTTCATATAGCCATATTAAGCCAAAACTTTGATCTTTATTGACAGCGATAGGTCTATTTCGGTATTCATACATACTATTGCTTCTAAAGAAAACTGCATTGAACAATTTTGATATATTTTTTCAGGTGTATATATACCAGGGTACATGATGACGTTTTCTTCCTACCCAGGAACTATTTTATCTGGGGATGATTATTATCTCATGAGTACAGGATTAGTAAGTTGATTATTTTAAGGTTGAGTTATCTCCCTTTACATTTTTAACAGTTTTGTATTTACTTCGCAGCTGCTTTAGTTTACATTTATGCTTTCAGTGCAAAACATAAATTAGGTATTTTGTACTGTAAGCATTTTATGTCCTCCTTATGCGAGCAATAGGCTGTTAGTTTTCCGCAATTTTGGTCTGACTATTTTTATGAGAGTTGTGGGACTTTGACTATTTTTTGGAGTATTGCCACATTAACACCTTGTGAACTTAACTTCTCTGAGACCACTTGATAAAAAGCTCCCA